AGAGTGGGAAAAAAAATAAAAAAATAAAAACCCCTAACAGATGAAGATCATATAAATCTTATCCATCCGAAAATCTTTCGATCAAATCCCTTTATCAGGCACCCGTTTTGGATAATAATTCATCATTTCTCATGGCACAGCAAGAGACCATCGACAAAACTCCCCGCCGCATCAAAATCATAGCCGGAGCCGATGCCTTCGGCTGCAACTTGAAAGACACACTCTTAACCCACCTCCGTTCTCAGAACATCGAAGTGGAAGACCTCGGAACTGATAAGTACTACTCCGTCGGCGAAGAAATCGGCCGCCGTGTCAGCCAGGCAAACACCGATGATTCCGTCGAAATCCGTGGCCTACTGGCTTGTGGCACAGGCGTGGGTGTTGGCATCTTTGCTAACAAGTTCCCAGGAGTATACGCCGCCACCTGCCTCACCCCAGCTGAAGCGCTCAATGCTCGGTCCATCAATAATTGTAATGTTCTTGCTGTCTCTGGTATGTCTACTGCCCCTGAGGTTGGTTTAGATATTCTGAACACCTTCCTCAACACCCCCTTTAAGGCCCCGTGCCCCGCTTCCGGGTCCAATCCGTGGCCGGAAGATATCCAGTCCTTTTTTGACACGTCTGTCAAAGAAATGTCTGAAATTGGGAAAACTAAAATCGAGAAGAAAACTGATGGTATTGCTGATTCTCCGGGTTTTATTTGCTCCCTGGCGAAAAGCCGGGATCAAAAGGAGTTTTCGCCTGTGGATATATTGCCTGGTGCGTCCATGAAAATTTTGAGGGAGACACCTACATCGGCTATAATGAGGTTTAAGGCCGGCAGCGTGGAGCCGGCCCATCATCATACTTTTGGGCATGATTTGGTGGTTTTAAGTGGGAGTACATGTGTGTGGAACTTGACGAAAGGAGATAAATATGAATTGGGGGTGGGGGATTACTTGTTTACACCGGCTGGAGATGTGAATAGAGCGAAGTATTTTGAGGATACTGAGTTTTTTATCAAGTGGGATGGACACTGGGAGGAATTGTTCTTGGATGAGGATCTTGCTGCTGCCAATGCTGCTATTGAGAAAGAGAAACAGAAGTAATTACTAGCTGATATGATAAGTATTATACTTGTAAATTTCCTTGCACGAAGTTATTGGTTATGTGTCGTTTGTGTTGGTTTGATTTACTAGTTTTTCTTCGGCTGCTCTTTTGTTATAGTGTACTGGTTTGATCTTTTATAAGCCTGAGTATGTATATGAAGTTGTAATGAAATCTTTTTGTGACCGAAAGATAATAAGTGATTAATTAAATTGTCAATTTGTGATTAAATTGTTAAGATTTATGATTTTAATATATTTAATTAATTAAATATATAATTAATTAATTAAATTATAAATAAATTTTAATAAGTATCTAATTTTTGAATTTTGAAACATTTGTTCTTATATTTGAAATGGGTGATACTCAACCCCTATTTGTTTCTCATTTTTGGGATAAAATGTATTATGTAATAGTAGTTTTTTAGAAAATGTGTGGTTGAAAATAAATTTTGTAAAAATATATTTTTGAAAATATGGGATTCAAAGAAGGGCTTAATTTCTTAATTATGAAATTTTCCCTTGATTTAGTTGGGGGCAAGTACATACTTTTACAGTTAATTTCTTAATATCAACAAATGCAACACTGTATCTGTTTAAAAAAAACAAAAAACAAAACAAAACAAAAGGAAAATGCAAAACAGTAATCTCACCCCATCTTTAATAATATATTGTTAAACTTTCATTTACAATCTATCTAGAGATAGCAATGGGCTCGACAACATAGCACATAGTCTCAAATGTTCTGTAAAGGATCATTCAAGGGTCGAGTCGAGCTTGACCCATGAGCTCATCATTTTTTAATATAAAAATCTTCCTCATTTATTCTCGTTTGGAACTAGCTACTTAATTTTTTAATAGACGAAATTAAAATTGTACACGAATAACTTATTATGTGTACAACTTTTTTAAAAAATAAAATATTATTAAGAGAATAACAAAGTTTGATTTTATGACGAAATTAAATATTATTTCTTTGAATACACGTAATTTCAACATACCTATTTTGTATTCGAAAATGGGCATCTTGTCAATTACATACATTAATCTTTCCAAAATTGTATCCTTTGAGTCAGCTCCTAAACTTAGAAAAAGTTCGCCTATCTGCACTCAAAGCAGACTTCGAAACTACATTACTAATTGGAGGTGTTAGTAAATCTTTTATAAATACATAAATAATGAGATATCTACATTCGTGACACCTCAAAATTTCATTACATTAGCAGGTTCTACATTCGTAGGCATTTGATGATTAGAATATTTATGTACTTCAACAGGCTGCCACCTTGAGCTAGAGCTGAATTGCGTCCGATGTCTATATGTAGGAGACATATTAGAAGAATGTGCATCAAATCTTTCATCCCTGATGTCCGTAAATAAATTCATTTTTTTCTCATATTCTTGAAGATTTGTTAGGGGGATGTGGAGGGTACATTTTGCACATAATAGCTATGCATACAATTCATATATGAAAATTAACTTGTTTTCTAATAAGAGTATTAGAATTTAATGGATTTGTGATTTGTCTAATAACATGTTTAGTGCCTTTTAAATTGTACCTAGGTCCATTACAAATGCTAAAGGAAATAGCATAGGCAAGTCTTTCCAGTATTTTTTAAACTTTAGGCTTGTTTGACAGTCATTTTTGGGAAGATTGAGTTTTTGAATATATATATATTGAAAAACGTGGTTAAAAAGTAGAAAAAAAATTGAGTTTAAGTGAAAAATATTTTGTTATGAAAATATATGGTTAAAAATGAGTATAAAAAAAAGATTTTTGAAAGAATGATTACCAAACAGTAGCTTAGTTCCATAGAAAATAATATTTAAGTAAAATCAGGATAATTTCTGTATTTATTAAAAGTTCTTACAATAACAAAACGACGTTCAAAATTTCTGAGACTAGTGGAGTAGGATACATTAGATAAGATGTTTGTAGCATCATAAAATCTTTTAACTTTAAAAGCTAATTATAATATTCTATAATTGAATGTTCTTATATTCCCATAATTTTTGTAATGAGTAAGTTGATTTCCATTTATACCTTACGTCAGTTACAAAATTTTTGGAATCCACTCTAAAATGAGCATAATATTCCTCGAACATTTGTTTTTCACTTGGTGATATATATCAATGCATCTCTAATCTACAATTTGATCTTTAATATACTTCATACCATTTTGTACAATTAAATTAAAGATGTGACACACACAACGAATATGAAATAAAAAATCATCAAAATCAGAATTAAGTACCCCTACATAGTTTATCTACAACAGACTTATTAACATTAATATTATCAAACATAAGAGAGCGAATTTTTTTTGCAACAATATTCTTTTACAACTTGCATAAGAGCGTTAAAATATATTGTTAGCATTATGAGAATACTCAATTATCTTGAGGAATAATTGCAGCAGAGGCTCCAAACCTTTATAATATTAGCAAGCTTTTTTCAAACATTTGTTTTGTTGCAATCGTCACCCCAAACCTTTCGAAATATTGCGACGAAGGCCTTTTTTGACAATTTTCATCAAATGTTTGTTAGTTGACTAAGAAATTTGACTTTAACTACATTTTTAATATTTTTATAAGGGTAAAATAGTAACTTTTATTTATTAGATTAAAATAAGTTAGAAATTAAATTAGAAAAAAATAAGAAATAAGAATTGAAAAAAAAAAAAAAAAAAAAAAACCAATCATCTTCTTCCTCTCACATCACCTCCACCTCAAATCCAAAATCAACCACCGTGAACCACAAAAACAAAAATAGATGATCTACAGGGCCATTAAAAAAAGATCCCAAAAATATTTGATAAGAACCAAATTACAAAGTTTTCAGATAACTCAGAAAAATGATGTACTACAACGACAAGGTGAGCATAGATTAATGAGAAATGAAATAGCTAAAATGCTACATGCAGACTTAGAAGAAAATTACGGCAAATTTCTTCGATTTGAAAGTCTGAAAAGAAAGAGAAATGGAGATAAAGTTCGAGGCGACGGTCCAACAGAAAAGGCATTGTAAGAGTTGAGTGAAGTAGAAGCCAACTCCATTGAATAGTCAAATTTGATTACAAAATTGACAACAACAAATTTCTGAGAGCAAAATTGTTCGATAATAATAATAAAAATCACCATAATACTCAAGTGAAGGATAATCTTTCACGAAACTGAAGGGAGAAACTTATATTACTCATTTTCATACTTTTTCGAGAGTTGGACTTTCTGAAAAAAAACAATGCTCTTCTTCCTCGTTATGACCAGTAACAGGTGGAGGTGGCTGATTTTGGGTTTGAGGTGGGATGGGTCTAGGGCTAGGGTGAGAGAAAGAAGACAATTGGTTTCTTCTTCTTCTTCTTCTTCTTCTTTCTCTTTGAGTTTTCTAGTTGGGTTTGCTGTCGATTTTGGTACGGTGAGTGTGTATTTTGGTTCAGTGTGCGTGATTTTGCTGTGGATTTTGATTGTCTGTGCGTGATTTTTGGAGAAGAGATTGGGTTGTAAATGTATAATCATTGTCTTACAGCTTATTGGGCTTTTATTGGTTCTAAGTTATTTTAGTGGTTGGACTACTATTTTAAGTTGGGCTCATATTATAGGGCTGTTGTTGGGTAGATTCTATTTGGGCAAATTGTGTTCCCAGTTGGGCTGATTTAGGTTGGTTACTGTTATTTGTGATCCTTTTCTTTTTAGCTACTTCTTTGATTTGTTATTTGGATAGTGTGGTTTGTATCTATAGATGACAAGTAAAAGAATTTAGTTATGACTGATGTCATTCCAGTGATGTCCAAAATCACGAAGTATAAGTTGGTTGGTCCAAATTATTTAGAATGGTGTAAGAAAATCAAATTTATCTGCGGTGTATTTCTATGGCCAATCATTTTATTGAAGATCCACCAACGGATAATACTTGCCAGACAGGACTAAGAGATGATGCCCGATTATTCTTACAAATCCATAATTCAATTGACACAGAGATAGTGAGCTTGATTAATCACTGTGAATATGTTAAGGAATTAATGAAATATTTAGAATTTATGTACTCTGAGAAAGGGAATGTGTCAAGTATTTATGAAATTTGTAAAAGTTTCTATCGTACTAAACAACAAGATCAGTCTCTTTAGGCTTATTTTATGAACTTAAGAAAACCTATGAAGAACTAAATGCCTTGCGACCTTTTAGTCCAGATGTGAAAGTTCAGTAAACTCAACGGGAGCAAATGGTTTTGATGAGTTTTCTAGCTGGTCTTAATTCTCAGTTTGAGACTGCTAAATCCCAAATCCTCTCCAGTGTTGAGATTCTATCTCTGCAAGAAACTTTTACTAGAGTATTTCGCATAAACATTAGTGCTTCTGCTGCTTCATCAGTTCAGTCTTCTAGTGCTCTCGCAATGATAGAGGTAATACAAGAGGTGGAAGTATAGGTAGTCGGGTCAATCGAAGTCAAAATGAAGGGGTAGTTGTTAGCTACTACTGTCATGAGTCGGGTCATACCAAATACTCATGTCTAGATTGCACAAATAAATTTCACGAGTCTCACTCAGCTCATGTTACAACTACTGCTGCTAGACCCATCTCATCTTCGGAGCAAACCATTACAGTTTCTGCAAATGAATTTGCCAAGTTCACTCAGTACCAAGAAGCATTGAAGAATTCATCTCACCCTACCTCTGCCATTATTGAGACAGGTAAATCTAATGCATGTCTCCTCTCTTCTTCATCAAAATGGGTCATTGATTCTAGTCTCTTCTCCACTTTTCAATTGTATACATTTCCTTCAAATGTTACTTTAGCTGAAGGTTCTACTTCATCTGTTCTTGGTTCTGGCACTATCAATCCAACACCATTAATTCCCTTATCATTTGTCTTAAGTTTACCACAAATTTCCTTCAATTTGACGTCCGTAAGTAACCTTACTCGGACCTTAAACTGCTGTGTCTCATTTTTTCCTGATTAATGTCTCTTTCAAGATCTTATGACGAAAAAGATAATTGGTAAAGTACATGAATCAGACGGTCTCTATATCTTGGATACCCAGGTGCACAAGTCTTTTGCGTGTTCAAGTGTCTTAACTCCTTTTGCAGCACATTGTCAGTTGGGACATCCATCGCTATTTTTGTTGAAGAAATTATATCAGTTTCAAAATGTATCGTCTTTAGATTGTGAATCTTTTCAATCTGCAAAATGTCATCG